AGTTCCTTGCAACCACACCAACAACCAGAAAAGCCATCAATACTTTCCTTGGGAAATTAAACCATGCTGTACATCTATGCTGTATTTCCTTGCCACGTTCCTTTTTTCCTTTGGCCAATCTCCAATGATAGATTCACAATTACCATATTTCTTTTGCATATCCTGGACAAGTATCAATTCTGTTGAGAGAGAAATGATGTTATTTTGTAATATTATCTCAAAAAAGTTATCAATTCTGTTGAGCTGAGATGGTATTGTCGATTATAGTTGTAACATGTTAAGAATTTTGGAAAATACTCGCATATTATCCATCGTTTTTGGATTCATAGTCGCTCTTCTTAAATGAAGCGAAGGGCGACTATCATCCATTATTCATACTCACATGTTCCCCATTATTTTTGGATTCATATTCGCTGACGATGGCTTTTGTCCAGTTCAATTTTTGCAACTTGAACTGCAAACTACACTTTTTATTGGCTTTGATCTGTCTTAATTGGTTAGCAAAGTGGCAGAGTTAATTATATTAAAAAATGCAACAGAATAATATGTAGGATAAGGACTTGATCGATATTATATAGGTTTTGAGCATGGGGTTTTTTAACTGTTTTTCAAATTTGAGGTGATCTAGTTTTCTGCTCCACATAACCTTCACGGGGATAGTTATTACCACTCTCTTCTATGCTAATTAGTAATTGTGAATGACAATATATCTTTCTTGGTGGCAATGTTCTGCTGCAGCAGTCTACCACTCTTGAAGTAGGTTCTGATGCCACTAGCAGCAAACTAAGGGAGGATCTTCAGGCAGTGTTTCACGTCCTCCCAAAGGACATGCAGCAGCTTATGCTAATGAACCCGGAGAGGGCAGCACTTGTACGAGATGATGAGCTTCCCTCTAAATCAACCAGATGACAGGAGCTTGTGTGGCTAAGATTTAATCAGACAGCTGAGTTGAGAGTTCTATGGTGCCGCCAGAAGATGTAGAATCAATCATGTCCTCTTCTTCACTGTAAATTCTTGCAGGAGCTGGACTTCTCAATGATCTGCTGCAAGGTCAGTTAAATCTTGCCTCAGATTTCCATTTTGCATTCTTGAGATAAATTGATTGTGAACATGATTTTTATCTTTCCTCCAGATTACTTTGGCAAAGAACTATTATCTATCTATTTGAAGCTGTTCCGGTGTACCGAGATCAGATTCTTCTCCTGAATTGGTATTTGAATTTTTCCAGATAATTGATTCTTATATGATGTTTCGGGATGAATAGAAGTCTGTTTAACTTACTATTGAAAGGGAAAACGATTTCCAGATATATGAGAAACAAGTAATGAGCCCTTATGTTGTAAAACTCCAGCTTTTTTCTATTTTATTCTATCTCAATGAAGGGGTCCCTCTTTGGTTTCTGTTTCCCCTCAAGGACATCAATGTCATATGGCGCATGATTAGACAAGTCATGCTGTAAATGGAATATCAGTGTTTGCATTTCGTTAGAACACGGGAAGAAGAACCTGTATGAAACATGTCAAAGGATGCTTTTACTTGGCTAAATTTGCTGCACATCACCCTCCCCTTTTCCTCTCATCTTGTTTCCTTGAAAATTGCAGCTTAATTGATTTTCCTGTTAAAGCTCAACCATCTTTCTGCAGTTTCAAAGCTGCGATTTGCGACTATTGTTATATTCGATGTTGCTTTGGACAACCCAAAATTAGTCGCTCCCATGTCGGATCCTTGAAAAATGTACTACTTTTGGAGGATGGATCCACCGCGCATCTATTGGGATTTTTTGAAGAGTCCAACTAACATAGGTTATATACTGGTTTTGAGAGTCGCTGATTCAGTTTTTCTATTGACCTTGTGCTCAGTCAGAGATTAGCAGTCTCAGTTATCTTGTCCATTACAAATATGGCATGTCAGATATGAAAAAACATAAGACAGCACTGTTGCTGTGAACCTTTTAGGATTCAAAGGGTCCAAGAAGATCAAGATTTTTATAAACCTTATCCATTAAAAATAATTGGTGGATGATAGTTGATGAATGAATATGTGATATGTCAATCCTTTTAATGACCATTTAAGTGTGAAATCAAGAATTCCATGTGATTTCATGTGTAAAAGACTGCTGGTAATGCGGTCCTTGTGACTTGTTTATAAATATCAAGGAGACAACTTAAATTATCAAAGAAAGTGAAATTATGGCCTGACAAAGACCCTTTGTTGTTTCAACAACACTAATGACTATAAAGTTCTTTACATCCACAAAATTTTGTCAGCCAAATAAGGCTGGAGATTTTAGAGGGTACGCATATTCTATCTCTATTTTAGAAGGTTTAGACGTTTTTAATAGATTATTGGCTCAAGGCAAAACAATTCAAAGAAGTTTGAAAAAGAAAATGGGAAACAATAAAATTATGACAAATAAATAGTAATAGAAATTAAAGAATAAAAGCTTAAAAAAATAATACTATACTACTAATATAAAAGAGACAACATAACGATCGATAACCTTACGGATAGGGTCTCGAAGAGACGCAAAAATGGACTTTGTCATCTATCATTTTTCATTTATAGTGTAATGATTATCTATGACTGACGTCGGATTCATATAAGAACAACATCTTTTCTCATTAATTTACCTTTATCTTTTTGGCCCTGTATCCTTCAGATAATTATAAAATGTGACAGTTTCTAATTTAATATTTTGTGCTATAATCCAATGAATGATAAGATGGACGGACAATTATATAACATTAGATAAGATTTTAAAAAAAAATTTGCATCAGTCACGAGGGGCTTGCAGCATATATTAAGAACAAAATGAGAAAAAGATATAATTTGATCATATGCTATGTCAACTTCAATATATATATGTTCATATCATATGAAACTATAACGAGAAGTGTTACAAAAATAAGAGACGAGATAGATTTAAAACCATGACTAACAATATCTTAAAATTAATACACACCAAAAGCAAAGATTCATATAGTGTCCGTTAATTATAAGTTTTGAATCTTGTTAGTACGTTGATGTTGAACGTATTGTTTTTTGAGGCGTACTTTGGTCTTATTTTAATACATTATTATAATTAACATTATCATTATAATCAACTCATACAAAAGTGATGCATAATTATAATTATTATTACAAGTTTACAAGCTAACAACCATATATCTTTTCCGTATGAAAATGATGGAAGTGTGACATAGACTTAAGGTTAATATATACAATCATTCAAGACCCCATTGCATATTGAAATATCATAATTCAAATTATTTCCTTTTATGAAAATGAAACTGTGCATATTTATTTTTGTAATATCCAAATTCCAGACATAAACTTTTCTTTTTTATTTTTATTATAAAAATAGAAAAAAGAAATAAACTAGACAACTCGTTGGCGCAACTCCTTTTTTATTTTATTTTATTCAAACTTTTTTTTTCTTTTTTCTTATGGCATTTTTGATTGTTTATGTTTACTCACATCTTCTTATTGACAAGATGGGCATAGTTCTACATGAATTAGAGAAGGAGAAAAAGCCACGTAGGTACATGAATAAGAGGTTGAAAGACAAAAAGTGACAAATTTTGGAAAAAATCATTACTCAAAATTCTTTCCCCACACCCTTGTGGTACTGTCTGAGCAACACTTTCTCAAGTAAACACAATTACTATTGTATTGATCGGTGAAATAAAAATAATAATTTTAAATAAAATATTAATTATTTTAGTTTACATTTAATCCGTGCATAATATGGTTCGCTTCTTTATGAATTTTTTCTTTGATATTGCGAGTTCAAATTTTATTATATTGTAAAGCCTTATGTTTTTATATGGAGGAAAATAAAAGATTTATTACTCATCTTTTGAATTGTGCATAAACTATCTACTCTTTTTTAAAGTCAAAATAATGACCATGTATAAGCAATTAATTTTTGTCCTTTCTTGATTTGTCAAAATGGACGAGTAATTAGAGACAATTAAAAAAGAAAAAGTGAACAAGTAATTAGGGACAAAGGGAGTACCTATTTAACCAAAAGTTAAAGCAAATTGGCACGTGATTATCATTTTATCATACATTCATGCTCAATACATAATTAGATCTTTGATTACTTGCAAAGTTGCAATTAATGTTTTAAATATTTTGACTCCAATCCCACTTCTTCCCACCCACCATTAACCTAATATTACTGAATAAAGTGCACAAGGTCAAAATACTACTCACTAAATAAAGAGGGGATTACATAATATTAAAATTAATACCAATATTCTTATTTCTAATACATCCTAAATCGTAGGGTGTTTGGCTAGAACAATATTATTATCTCTAATATATCCTAACCCTTAAAGGCTCATTTGATTGGAACAAATTATCTCACAATTAATTATTTGAGAATCGTTATAGTACTAGTCCTAGAATCACGAGGGCAAACAGTGCGTGGCCCAAAATTTCTATAAGATTTTGTATGGAGCCTCTTATTGCCATTCACCCATTCAATCATTGCTACTACTAAGATGCCACTTTTTTTTTTTTTCATTTTAATGATGAAATAGATACCATTTTTTAAACTTTCATGTTTCTTTATTTATTATTCCACCCTTTTAATCATTGTTTATTCCATAGTTTCCATTCTACTAACTAGGAAAGATTTTACTGCTGTATAAAAGTTGGTAATTTTCTACACTACCTTTCCTTATTTTCTTTCTTTTCCCTTTTCTGTTTGTTCTTTTGCCCACCTTTTTGTCAGCTTATGTATATATATATGGAGATTAATTTCAATGTGTATAAGACCCCCATTATTATATTCATTTTCTTTTTTTAATATATAATATTTAGATTATTCGATACTCATTCCGTTTCAAAATTCATCACGTTTCATTTTTTTCTGTCAAATTACTTGAAATTTTAATTTTCAGATATTAATTTAATTTAGATTGATCAAATTAATTCCCGGTATCTTTAAAATATTTTCATTCATTGGACCTAGAATGTTTATAGTTTTACTTTTATCCTTAATAATCCCCTATATAAAATCTCTACTTTATATCGACTCTTAACTAAAGTGAAAAATTATTCTTGAATTACAATTGGCTTTTCACTTTTTGTAATTTTGTTTGCATGACTTTGTATGAAGGTGACAAATCAGACCATCCCTTCAACCTCACAAGTGGTCCTTCTCCATTAATACATTTGATACCCCCACTTTCTTTTCTTCCCTACTATTATTATTTTCTTTCTTTCAAACTGAAAAAGAGAAATATTATTAGATGCAATTTTCCCCAAATTGAACGAAAAAAATAAAACAAGAAGAAATTTAGAAATGTCACCTTCAGATTCATCTTCAGTAGTGTGGAGCAGAGAAGAAGAAAAAGCTTTTGAGAATGCCATTGCTCTGCACTGGGTTGAAGATTCTGAACAGCAATGGGAGCAGTTTGCTTCTATGGTCCCCACAAAGACCATTGATGAGCTTAAGGAACATTACCAGCTACTTTTGGAAGATGTTGCAGCCATTGAAGCAGGCCAAGTTCCAATACCCAATTACAAAGGAGAAGAAGCTTCTTCCTCTTCAACTAAAGAAGTTAATCTAGGATATCCTGGGTCAGTGGACGGACGGCGCTCCAATTGTGGTTATTCAAATGGATTTTCAGGTACGACCCATGACCCGATTGGGCATGGTGGAAAAGGGAATTCTAGGTCTGAACAAGAGAGACGAAAAGGCATACCGTGGACTGAAGAAGAACATAGGTAATAATACTCAATTTTTAAGGCGAAACAAAGTTTAAATCTAATGGTAAATGAAACCTAATTTTGCCTAATTTTGATTTACAGGTTGTTTTTGCTAGGTTTAGACAAATTTGGGAAAGGAGATTGGAGAAGTATTTCAAGGAATTTTGTTATATCTCGAACACCAACACAAGTAGCTAGTCATGCCCAGAAATACTTTATTCGTTTGAATTCCATGAATAGAGATAGAAGAAGGTCAAGTATTCACGACATTACAAGTATCAATAATGGAGGAGACGTTTCAACTCATCAAGCTCCAATTACAGGCCAACAGGTGAATCCGAATCCATCAAATCCAGCTGCTCTTGGACCCTCAGTCAAGCACAGAACCCAACCCAATATGCATAGTATGGGCATGTACGGTGCTCCGATGGGTCACCCCGTCGCTGCACCGCCAAGCCACCTTGCCTCAGCAGTCGGAACACCGGTTATGCTTCCTCATGGACACCATCCTCCTTATGTACTTCCACTTGCATATCCTATACCGCCACCGCCACCACCCATGCACCAGTAAATGAATGGTCCACACATAACTGGATTTTCTTCTTTCTAAATTTCAATAGAGTTAGTATATCATAAATGCTTTTGAGCTTTCTCTGAAAACTGAATTTTGAAAGGCTCATGGGTTGTTTTTAAGTATCAAAATTCTCCCAATTGTTTTCTTTCTTATTGAGAAATTTGTAAATATTAGAGTTTGAATGTTTTAAGGGATGCTCAATTGCTCATCAATTCTTTTACATAAAGGTAATAAATATTAAGGGTCGAAAAGTATAAGTATTACTAGTATCTTTTTTATACATAGAAGCAATTATGTATTTTGTAGAATGGTGATGAATCGATGATGAACACAAGTTTCAAAAGTTTTCATTTTATTTTAAAATTATGTGTCCAATAAAACATAAAAGTAGTTAAAAGTTATACTATTTAAAAAGAGTTTCTAAGATTATAAAATTATTAAGAACAAAATAATACAAAAGTGCTCAGAATCCTTCAAAATTATACAATTTGATTTATAAATCAAAAGATATTTATAAGCTAATTTAACCCACTTATAGAAAAGCCAAAGCAATTTTGTGATTTTTCTTTCCAGTTTGGAGGACTCTTTAGCAGGGAAGAATAGAGGAAGTGTCCTGAACGCAAAATCCACCAATAGGGAACAGTGGCACATGATTGTGGGGAAAAGAACAAATGAAGGTTCTGTGGAGAAAAAGAAGAGAGGGGAACCTTCTCTTGGAAATCTATAATACATTTTTTTTTTCGGACTGTTACAAAATACGTAATTTTTAAAGTTAAATTTGAAGTGTTACTTTTCTATTATCCCAGATATTAGATTTTATTTCCCTAAAAGTAGAAAATTAATACTACTCAAATCCCAATAATTGAGATTTTAAGACTAGGTTAAAATAGCATATGGACCGACGGCGTTTAGCATGTGAGGGTTGCTTTTTAGTTCAGGGGTCGGGGTAGAGGGTCCTGAAGATATTTGTCACCTTTAGCTCTATTGCATTATAAAATTGGACATCCTATTTTATTTCTACATTTCAATTCCACCAACAGCAATGGCAACGACTCCAATTGTTGACAATTACATGAAGGGACACAAGACATCCAACAAGGCAAGTTCTTTCAATCTGTACCACTAAATGGCTGCTTCGGTTTTGTATTTTGTTAATTCACTGTCTTATTTTCTTACAATTCCACATCGATTACTTTTATTTCAAACAGAGGGTCTATCACTCTCTAACTCCATAAAGGTAGGGGGTAAGGTCAGATACAGCTACGGTATTTGTTCATCCTACCATTCCCATACCCCACTTCTGAGATTACACTGATATGTTTGTTGTTATTTGATTGCTGCAGGTTCTATTAAACCATAATCACTCATACGCACGTTGATGGATTAGAAATAGAACACTGCAAAATAACAACTATCCGAGTACGTCAAGGGAGAGATTTAGTTAAGAGGTACAATGACTAAACAAAACAAGAAAAAAAGAAACAGTAGGGCAGGCTTACAAAACAACAACACAGTCTAGACCTAATGCCTGTAGCTTACAACGAGAATCAACATCAACAAGAAAAATTACAAGAGGACTTTGCACGCAGCTGCTTGGACAGTATGCGATACAACAGCCTCTTTCGTCCCCATCTCCACCATATTGGTAAACCAGTCCTGCGTCTTTTTTTACTCTGTTCTCCTGCATTACCAGCAAGGATATAGTTCAATACACTAGAAGTCCAATCCTCCACAACACCAATGCAGAATTTTGTGTCTAAAGGATTCTTTATAAAAAAAGTTAACTGTCCTCGAATCCATTATTACAAGAAATGACCTATTCCCCACACCCAGACTGATGTACCCACTTCCTAGACGAGAAGATCAATTTTCAGCAGATACATTGTCCGAGCATAAAAAAATCATCAGCTAACATGCATAAAGCAAGAGGGCTGAAGCTGATCTACTGGATCATCTTTTCACTGCCCAGGTGCAGGGAACTCAATTTGGGGTTGAATTTGATCTTTTATCATCATCAAAGTTCAAAATATTTCAGATGTTAAATGGTCAGTCATCTTCATAGTTAGATCAATTTTTACCTCACTTGGCCTGCAGGGTGACAATAGTGTACAAGACGCCAGCTTCATTTCAGCCATAGAATATCACTTTTTAGGTAAGGTCTTAGAATCATTGTATATTTCTCAAAAGTTAGCTGAAACTTTTGACTAGTTGCACACTTAGTCAAATAGTTAACATGAATTGACAGGACCAATTTGAGAAAATCCACAAGGTTAAAAGAGAGAGCTAACCATTATCATTCAAATTAGAGGCAAAAAGATAAAATAGGGACCTCATGTATACGCCCCAAAGAAAATTCAAGAAACTCACTTGTATCCTGAAAAGCATAGGATCCCCACTCCGAATGCAATTTAGTGAAGTTCGCCTCCAGTGTAGGCCAGAAGTTCATCTGAATCTTTAGAACATCCAAAACACTTCGCAGTCCAGCTTTGGAAGGTACAGTATTTTCTATGTCAATCGTTGGACTTTCACCAAGCAAGACCTAGAAAAGAAAGGACAACATCACACAACATCAGAAAAAACACTCAAACTTCTGCATACCCCAGGAGTTTGAAGGATAAAACTAGGGAACAAAAACGTTCAGCAGTTTCCACGTCACCACCATTGAATCTGTTCTAGTCATAATAATAATGTAACAGGTTATCTGCAACCAAAACGAACTGAAAAAGATACTGGGTGGATAATCCCCCTAGTAGAGAAATGAGTAAGCTTTTATTTTTGACAACTACTTGAAAATTCAGTAATTGCACCAAGAAGGTGTGAATATGTACAGCAATAAGACTTTTGAGAACTAAAAAAGTTTGTTCTACATTTTTTTTTTTTGATAACCGAGAAATCTGTCTGTGACCCTCCCTTTGGACCAATCACAGCCTTCTAAACTCGGTGGATAATGGGCCCGAGCTTGTTCTACATTACTCAGCCAGGATTTCAAATATGCTTTTGATGCAGAGAGCAATTTGTTAGGAAAAGCAAAACAAGAAATAGGTCAAAGCTACTAAAAAAGATGACCATTAATATCAAGACACTAGTGCAGACCAAGAGCCTATACCCATTGCAATAGGCAAGCATAAGTGGCAGCAGTTGAAAAATTCATCACACTGGACTTAGTAGTGATAGTTATGATAGAAGTGAGGTAGGACTAGGGGAATAAAATCTGTCTTGGTTGTTTTACTTGAATCTGTAATCTCCCATGTACTTGAAACTGGAGGTTTACATGCTGATAAAAACACTCCCCTGATACTGCACGTTCTTTTGCCTTATTTCCAACTCTAAGTTTTGAAAGGAGACACTTAAGTTCTTTTTTTTCTTCCAACATTAAGTTATTTTACATGCCCTTTTCATCAGTTCATCCTAGTCCACCATCCATTCACTCTGCGTAAATTAGAGTTACCTTAATCACTGCTGTAGCTGATGATGAAATTGAGCGAAGATTGTAGCTGCAAAACGTAGCCATTCAAACACAAGCAAACATATAAACTTCCAGTTCTCTTTAATTTAAGAGCCAAGACGAAGGAACAAAGAGAAGATACAAACCCGCCTTCCAGAATAACAAGCAATTTTCCACCTGACAATGCACTCAATATCTGAGTCATTGATGCATAACCAGCAGGAGTTACCTGCAAAGACGATCCAAAAGGTAACACAAAGTAGCATAGGCAACATATATGATGTAAAAATGAGTACATTATTAAACTAGTTGACACTAGAAAAATCCTTACATCACAGCAGCCAAGGGGATCACCCCTAGCAGCATCAAATCCTGCCGAAATGATAGTTAAGTCTGGATTAAAGTCCAAAGCTGCAACAACGTGGAAACAGAGAAGTTGATGAGGTCACTCTTGTTTTTTCCTACTTTCTAAAGAGAACTAGATAATTTCAAGGAGAGGTAAGAATAATCAACCACTAAGAAACAAGCTTTACATGCATAATGCACATAGCGCTGTTGAGCAATATAAGAAAAGAATTTGATGAACAAACAGAAGGTCTAGAATTTGATAAATAGTTTTACTAATATACACCAAGATGGTATTTAATAGGTACAATACGTATATTGCTAAGCCACCAACAATCTAACCACCAATGCAGCATAGTATTTCCTCTCTTACACCAAAAGTACAATAATAAAAGTGAGGTTTGCATCACATGATTGGGTCTTTCCAGACCTTCAAAAGTTCTTATTTTAGCTGAGAAAATGCATAGTGTTGCCATTTTCATGTAACATTCCTCACAAATCTAGTTTATTCATCCTCCTGCCTATGTGAGCTTTAATCACATTTCCGGTCTCAAACCCAAACAAGGGAGAAAGATTTCAGTACGTTGACAACCAATATAAACCTAGTAAATTCGCGGTGATCCTCACACTAGAAATATATTGGGACAATCTCACCAAGGTACATATTACATTCATATCCAATTGTGATGAAAAATGTGCATGGGTTTCATTTATGAATAAGTTCCAATATTTTATTTTGAAACGAAGGAAAACTAAAGGCATTCTGCACAAGTTCATTGTTCTTTCTTGGTGTCCATTTTCTGTAAGGACTTAGCTTTTGGCATCCCAGTCATAAACTATTGAAAAAGGAGCAGAACATGCCTACATTCCTCTGCAATCAGGCAGATATTACTTTGGCATATGCAAGAGATATATATAACTGCAGCTAAGATCTCCACTTAATCACTGCTTCCAAGTATCCTCACTTTATTTTTGTACAAGTTTATTCACTGCTTCATTTTAGTAAAGCTTTGTTTCTTTTTTAAGTTCTTCACAGAGAAATAAAATACCTACCTATGGGAAGCACGACTTGCTCAAATGCAAAAATGTAGTCATTGTCACTCACTCCCCCACGGCTCCAAGGAATATTCACACAGTACCCTTCTGCACCCATAGAACCAACCTGTGGAAAAGGAAAATAAACTATGACATCCCAATGCATCTCAAATGAATGTAATTAGAAACAGAATTCATGAAAATCGTGATTTGTGGACGCCCTTTACATAGACAAAAATGAATTAAATCTCAACCTAACCAAACCACCAGTAAAGGTTAGTTTAATAATAAATGAGTACCTCATCTGCAGCTCCTGTACCAGGGTAGAATCTTCCACCCTCATGTCTGTGCAATGATATATACAAAACCTGCTCAGTAATAGAACCACAACATTCAGTTGTAAAGAACTTCTCCCAACCAAACAACAAATGA